ATGCTCAGATTCACCGAAATTTTGAGACCAGTGATATCGTTGTAAGAATCCAACCCATAGGATACAATATTCTGCTAGTATCACACATCAAAATTTGCTACACTGCTGCACCTATTTTTTGAGACGCCCTGAAATACCATGCTTCTGTCCATAAGATTAAAGGTGCAGTCCGGAGAAGTACACTGTTATTTCATGCAATGATATTATTCACTTGAGATTACTAATATGGGTTTATGATGGAACACACTGGGGCAAAACGTTAAAACAGTGTTGGAAATTCATTGATGCTTAGGCTTAAAATGTGGTAGTGAAATGTGAAACTGCTCGGTGGCCAGCAAAGAATAATGTTAATGCGACATTTCTAGATGGGCACAACACAACAAAACGTGGAGGGTGTACGCGAAATGAATGACGATTCAGGAGTTGCAACTCAATCAGTTAGTGAAGAGGTCCATCAAAAGAGAACGTTCGCTGGAGTGGTGAAAACTGCTATGGTAATTTCCGCTTAAATGACCAATTATCACTTGCATTACAGTAACTATCAATGCGACCAGTTCCATTATTCTATGATAACATTTTTGTAGCGGTAGAATATATCACTGGTATTACTACAACAATTTTTTGTCATAATATCAATCTGTTTTGGGACAATATCAACAATTTGTTTCGTAATTATCATTGTTATCATCACCATTGTTTTTATTACTTCTATCATAATTTTGAGTGTTACAATCATTAACGCTCTAATGGTCATTATTTTAATCAGTTTGAGTGTTTATAGTCAGCATATTTTTTAGCACATTTGTTCTCGGCGAATTATCGCGATTTAAGAGCAGAGAATGAAAATTTAAAATACTCAAGAATCAAATATAATACTTAACAATAATGGTAGTAGGCTCAAGGGGATACTTTCCAGCACATTCAACTGAACTTCTATTAAGGCCGTACGAAACTGGGTGTTGTCCGTTCAACCGGAAGAAGGTGCGAATGACGATCGTAACTCTGAGCTGAATGCATCAATTGTATTCGATCCACCGGCTGTCGCAGCACAAACGGCGGCCAGGCTAGAGAGCCGAAATAGTCGGACGAGTTTGTTGCCAAATCAACCGCCGGATGGGTCGAAGCAACAGCCAGAACAACAACAGCATCAACCACAACGTGAACGTTGCAGTTTCAGTAAACGCTTGAAAAAATCCATCAAGTTAGATCAATCGCTCTGTTCACTTTTCAGTATCCTGTCTATTACCAGTCAGCTTTCACAAATCAGCTATCGTTTTAGTGGTCAATTGACCAGAATAACTTCGCAATGGGCAATTTTTGGATTTTGGCAATCGTTTAAGTTCAGTTTTGCGAAAATGGATTCGGTCAGGTTGCAAGGCACCAATTTTGCGTTCAGAGAACAGGTTTTGACAGGTCCATAATATTCTTCACAGTTCGACCGACCTCCTCGTGGCTGTATTACTGGACGATGATCACATCAGTGGGATGCTTCTATAATCTTT